GGGGGGGGGGGGGGGGGGGGGGGGGGGGGGGGGGGGGGGGGGGGGGGGCCCTTGGAAAGGCCGGCCTGTTTACCTTCCAGCGTGAAGCGGAAGAGATCGTGGTAAAGGTCAATGGTCAGCGAGCCTCGGGTGTTCTTCCTGATCTGCCGGTACATGAAGGCCACGAAATCCTCAGCCACCGTGTTGAGGAAGGGCAGGAACTTCCGGGTGCCAGCAGGGCTGATGACTTCCTTGTTGAGGATGAGCCGGTCAGAGCGCCACTCTTCCCCGTTCCTGCAAAATAAGGTCACCCACACACACACACACACACACACCTGTGAGACCTGGCCTGGCCAGGGAGGGTGGGCTGCAGCTCCCAGCTTTCCTCAGGGAAAGACCCCCGCCCTCGCCCCCTTGGCTCTGCCTAGCAGCCCCCCACCCCATCCAGGCCCTTCCCCCTTTCCACTCAAGCCCCTCCTTCCGTGAACCCTCCCTCCATCCATGTCATCCTCACTCCGAGAAGTAGGAGAACAAACCCACCGCGACTCGGTTCAGCACTTCCGCCTGCACACAGAAGACCCGAGCCTCTCTTGGGAAGACAGCAAAGTCCCCATTTTGGACATTTTGTGCACGTTTTACTTGGAGGCTTCGAGGCTGCCAGACTGCCGGTTTGAAAGAGGGGGTCTAAGAGGCCATCTAGACTCTATAGAGCAGGGGTCTCCAGCCTTGGCCACTTTAAGACTTGTGGACTTCGAAGCAAAGCTGGCTGAGGAATTCTGGGAGTTGAAGTCCACAAGTCTTAAAGTGGCCAAGGCTGGAGGAGGCCCCAGTTCCAGAGAGACCCCCACAAAGGAGGTTGAGCTCTTGGAGGCTTCCCCTCCAATCTGCCCAGATGTTCCACAAGACATCAGCTCATTTGGGGCCGTTTCTTGGAAACAGCTGGAGCAGGACTGCCCGGGTCTTCCAAGCAGGCGGTGGCACCTTCCTTTCCTGTGCAAAAGCCTTCCTGGCCTGCTCTGTGCCAACTGCCAGGGGTTCTGGCCGGCCCAGCTGCTGCCCCGGGTGGCCGGAGAGGGTCGGAGAGGCCTCCGTTTGGGAGAAGGGGGTGCACTGCAGCGACATCCTCTGAAGGCCCCGACTTACAATAGGAAGACGCCGCACTTGTGGTTCCTCAAGGCACGGTGGGCGAGCCAGGAATCTATGCCCATCCGGCGTGGGAAAATCCCCTCCGTCTGGAAGAGCTGGGCGGCATCTTGGGGTAGGAACACGTTGACGCTGTCGTGGCTGCCCACTTTCTCCCTGCCAAAGCAACAGAATCAGGTCAGTGGAAGACGTGGCCACCTGGCTCTGCACTTCTGGGATCGGAGCAAAGAACCTGAAAGGAGGGGAGAAGGGAGAGGGGGTTGGGAGAAAGAGGGAGAGGAAGAAGGAAGGGAAGAGGAAGGAAGGAAGGAAGAGAAAGAGAAAGAGAAAAAAGAAAAATAAAGAAATAGAAAGGAAGGAAGGAAGGAAGGAAGGAAAGTGCAGGGAGAGAGGAAAGGGAGAAAGGAAGAGAGGAGGGAAGGGGAGGAAAGAAAGAAAGGTAAAGGGAGGGAGAGAGAAAAGGGAGAAAGGAGGAGGGGAGGAAAGAAAGTAAGAGAGAGAGGAGGGAGGAAAAAGAAAGAGAACGAAAGAAAGGTGAAGGGAGGTAGAGAGAAAAGGGAGAAAGGAGGATGGGAGGAAAGAAAGTAAGAGAGAGAGAAAGAAAGACAGAAAGAAAGAAAGAAAGAAAGAGAGAGAGAGAGAAAGAGAAGAAGAGAGGGAGGGAGGGATGAAGAAAAAAGAAAGAAAAGTGAAGGGAGGGAGGGAGGAAGAGAAAAGGGAGAAAAAAGGAGAGGGGGAGGAAAGAAAGTAGGAGGAAGAAAGGGAGGAAGAAAGAAAGAAAAGGGAAGGGAAGGAGAGAGGAAAGGAAGAAAGGAGGACGGGGAGGAAAGAAAGTAAGAGAGAGAAAGAGGGAGGGAAGAAAGAAGAAAGGAAGGAAGGAAGAAAAAAGGAAGGAAGGAAGGAAGGAAGGAAAGAGGGAAAGAAGGAAAGAAAGAGCAGGCTGGCAAGATTCGGCTGTTGCAGACAAACTCAATATAAGTAGTTTTAGCCTTCCTGGGGAATTGATTTCTGGTCTCTGTTATAGTATAGACTACAACAAACCACTTAACCACACACACACACACACACACACACACACACACACACACACACACCCTACTGCATCAGTGCTCTCTTGAGTGCCTTGTGCAAAGCTAAGGGACCAGATGCTAAGGGGGCTGAGGGTCTTCCAGAGCAAGGGTGGGGAAAGAAGGACCAGGGGTGACATCTTCCAACCTCTCAGGGGCTGCCCCCAAAGAAGAGGGAGTCAAGCTCTTCTCCAAAGCACCTCAAGGCAGAAGCAACGGATGGAAACTCATCAAGGAGAGAAGCAACTTGGAATGAAGGAGAAACTTCCTACGGAGAACCATTAACCAGTGGACCAATTTGTTTCCAGAAGTTGTGGGTGCCCCATCACTGGAGGTCTTTTATAGGATCTCCGGTTGGACTAGAAGACCTCCAGGGTCTCTTCCAACTCTGTTATCCAGAGAAAGAACCCCAATTCCCTGGTCCACTTGGACAACTTCATCTTGCTGGATTCTGTTCATTCAGACGGCCAGAGGGCAGAAGGCGGAGGGCTCCACAGCTCCCCCAAGCCTGAGGTGGGGATGCCAGCTGGGGTCTCACCGGTGCACATCCCGGGGTCACCCCTCTTCCAGCAACGGAGGCTGGGATTTGCCAGACCCAACCCTGGAAGACCCCACCCCCTCCACCCGCTCCTACTGTCTGAAGTGGCTCCAGCAACCCCAAAGCGGAGCAGCCCTTGTCTGTGGGGCCATGCCGAGGCTCATGGCCCCGTGGGGACTGTCACCGTCCCCATCCATGCCCAGGGGGGAAGGTAACGCCTCTCCACGCGCCAGCCGTGGTGTGTGGGACCACCTCCAGCCAGCCAGCTGAGCGGTTTGACCCAGCTAGAGGAAGAGCTGGAGGCCCAAAGGGCTGGAAGAACCAGCCTCTCTGGCTTACACAACTCGGCCCCAAGGCCAGACTGCAGAGGAAGGAAACGCTGGAATACGGAACAACTGAGTTGGCAGAGACCTTGGAGGTCACGTAGTCCAACCCCCTGCAGGACACTCTCTACCATTCCAATCGGTGGTCCAGTCTTTTCTTCAAAGCCTCCACCGTCATAGCACCCACCACTTCTGGTGGCAAGCAGTTCCACCAGATCATTGTTCTCCCTCTCAGGAAATTCCTCCGGAGTTCCAGGTTGCTGCTTCTCTCCTTGATGAGGTCCCACCTGTTGCTTCTTCTCCTGCCCTCAGGGGCTTTGGAGGAGAGCTTGACCCCCGTCCCCTACGGGGCAGCCCCTCAAATACTGGAAGGCTGCTCTCCTGTCTCCCCTGGTCCTTCTTTTCCTTAAACTAGACATGTCTTCTGTCCATCCATTGTTTGCTCAAATATCTTTCCTTCTTTCTTTCCTTCTTTCCTTCTTTCTTTCTTTCTTTCTTTCTTTCTTTCTTTCTTTCTTTCTTTCTTTCTTT